CATTTAGTAAGAATGTTTCCTTCCCTAAGTTCTTCGTTGGTGTGATTTGACACATTACAGCCTAGTATACAACTATATATATATGTATGCAGGTAACAATTGTTTATAGGGCCAGAATATTTCCAGTATATTTGGTATTGTATTTAAATAAGTTGCAACAGTGGAAATTGAAATATGCCAGCGCTCCCCTTGTCCTACATACACCCTGAAAATGCAGCAAATCTTAGCTTGTCATTTCTGAGCATTGTGTAGCTATAAATGTTGCAGGAGCCCAAGCGAAAATGTTTGACCTTGCTTTGAATTACATGGACAACAAAATAAAGCAATTACATGGTTCTGGTCTCAGGGTTTCATGGCAATATGTCAAAAGATACCAGGGTCTGTGGAGACCTGTTAAAAAGTCAGTGATGCATGATCTTTTGGACACTCGCCCATGTAACTTCAACAAGACTGTTAGTTTGTATTAACAATCCATATCTGTTTTATTTTCATTTTTCTTCCCATGTTTATCTTAAAAATGTATTTTGAAATGTATCTTTTAGGACTGAAGGTTGTAAACCGTTTAAAAAGGTCAGAAATTAGTCCCTATCATTGTGTGAATCAAAAATGTAATCATCAAAACGGAATGTTGATGGTTTATTTGATTAATCAAAAAATCAGTTTCAGTTTCACGTTGGTGCTATCGCAAGGATGTAAGTTTTCTGCTTAAACATGGACCCACTATCCGAGACTCAGGTCAGAAGTCACACAACACCAGGTTATATTCCAACAGGTTTATTAAAAATCACAAGCTTTCAGAGTGTGACTTCTGACCTTGTTCCCTCCCAAGTCTAACACCAGCATCTCCACATCATACGAGACTCAGACCTGGCCTTCTAACATTGCAGAAGGTCACTTACTTGGAATTCATCTGCTTCACTGCTACAGCAACCTTCAAATCCTGCATTTGTAATCAGACTGTCTAGTAGCTACTCAGGAAATATTGATCCAAATAAATGTGAATTACCTAATGATTTAGATGAAGCCAGGAAACTGAAAAAATAGGAGCTTAGTGCTAAAATGATAGACCATGTGTTTTATGTTTGCAATTTGCTTACTGAGGTAGTCACTGAACATTTTAACATAAGGTTGCCAATGTACTTTTGACAAAAGAGCATAAGTTTTTAACAGAGAAGAAAAGGAAATAAAAAGAGCTCTGTATATGTTTTGAAAAGACTTACAAACACAAAAAGATACCATCTTCTTTTCCCCAGAAGTATCCTATAAATCCATTCTACCCTGATGAAGTATCACTCTATCGTCATTCCTTAATTTCTTACTCAACTGATGAAGTCACAAGCATAAACCCACCGACTCCCACATCTATCTGCACTATACATCCTCGCACCCTGTTTCCTGTAAAGATTTCATTTCATTCTCCCAGTTCCTCCATCTCTGTCGTATATATTCTGATGAGGCCAACTTTGATTAGGAAGCCTCCGAAATGTCTACCTTCTTCCTCAACCAAGGATTCCTCAGTACCATTGTTGACAGGGCCCTCAACTGGATCTGACCCATTTCCCGCACTTGTGCCCTCACCCCCTCTTTTCTCTCCTGCAACAGAGATAGGGTTCCCTTTGTCCTTACCTACCATCCCACCAGCATCCACATCCAGGAGATCGTTAGCCGGCATTTCCACCACCTCCAGCAAGATGCCACCACAAGACACATATTCCCCTCCCCTCCCTTGTCTGTCTTCCACAAGGACCATTCCGTCAAGGGTACCCTGGTCTGCTCTTCCTTCAGTTCCAACAAACACCCCCCACAGCCCTACAGCACCTTCCCCTTCCACCGCTGAAGGTGTAACACCTGCCCATTTACCTCCTCTTTGCTCAGCATCCAAGGGCCCAAACGTACCTTCCAGGTGTAGCAGCACTTTACCTGTACTTCATACAATCTAGTCTACTGCATTTGCTGCTCACAATGTGGTCTCCGCTACATTGGGGAAACAAAACGTAGACTGGGTGACCGCCTCACAGAATGTCTACATTCCGCCCATAAAAAAGACCCTGAGCTTCCAGATGCCTGCTACACACCACCCTGTTTCCTGACCAACATCTCTGTCTCAGGCTTGCTGCAGTGTTCCAGCAAAGCTCAGCACAAACTGCAAGAACACCTCATTTTCCACTTGGGAACCTTGCAGCCATCTGGAGCCAATATCAAGTTCAATAATTTTAGGACCTGAACTCTCCAGTGCCCTAACCCCACACTCCAGGCCTTGTTATCACATAGTCTGCTATTACACACTACCTATTGTTAGCTACTAACAGTTTCCATTCACAGCCATTCACACTCCCCGGCAGATCATTATCCACTCCTTTGTCTGTCCAAATAAAAATGGAAACAACACTGGATGCTGTAAATCAGGAACAAGAGCACAAGTTGCTGGGAAAACTCAGCAGGTCTGGCAGCATCTGTCAAGAAAAATTAGTTAAAGTTTCGGGTCCAGTGACCCTTCCTCAGAACATTCTGAGGAAGGGTCACCAGACTCGAAACATTTTGATTTTTCTTCACAGATGCTGCCAGACCTGCTGAGTTTTCCCAGCTACTTCTGTTTTTGTCACAAGCATTTCCTGTCAGCAACTTCCTGCACATTCACCAGATGTGATTCTTTCTGTCTCTTCTCGAGACACACAGACAATCCATAGGTTAACTCACTGGCATTACTCACTAAACTCAAGAAGACTCAGAACATTTTTGGTTAGGTTGATTGCACTCAGGTTGCTAAATAGCACATCTGCTGTTTGGATCTTCTGACCTAATCCTGCTTCTGGCCTCTCCATTTTTCTCTCTCTGAGTCATAAATCTTAACTTAGTAAACACTTTCGTACTTTCACCCAAGCAGTTTGTTTAGTGGTCGGTTAGCTCAATTGGTGTCCAAAGCAGAGTGATGCCTACATGCCTACACCAGCTGAGGTTATCATGATGGCCTCTCTTTCCCCTTGCTTGAGGTATGGTGACCCTCAGGTTAAATCACCACCAGTCCTCTGTTACTCTCTCTAATGAGACGGCAGGCCTATGATCTAATAAGACTGTGGCAACTTTACCTTATCCAGTTTGCTTGAGTCACATGATTTATTAGAAAGCTGCATTTATGGCAGGTGTCACACAAACAGCTTTGAGGCTAATGTTGTGTCACGAGTTATACAGCAAGAGTCTAGTGTTTATGCTCCTTTGGAGGCTTCTTCCATCTTTTCTCATGTACATTTAGCATCGTAACACTTTATTCCCTTCTCCCTCATCCAGTTCTCCAGTTTCATCTTAATTACATCTATAGGATGAACTTCAGGTCCTCCCTGTGATAATCATTTCACAATCTCATCCGATTCTCTCGGTATTCTGAATTTCCTGATGGATTTCTTGGTGACTCCCTGAGATGGTCAGCTTCTACTGATGGCCCTTCCCAGTGAAAACACCATCTCTGTGTTCACTCCATCAGAACCAGTGATAGTTTTAAAAATTGCAAGTAATCGACATATTGCCAGGAGCCCCTGTCCTTACTTCCAAAAGACAGGGAGATGATTTGCAAGGACAAACACTTAACTATCTCACAGCAGCAGAAATGACAACCAGCAGGTCAAAACAAAATCAATCTTGAAGATCTCTAGTATCAGCTCATCATGAATTTCCAGTTTGTATCCTAGTTTGAATACTGTTGCTCTGCAAGTAATGACTGTTTAACACTACAAACAGTACTTGCTCGATTCTTCGGCATATTCTGAAAAGAAGTTGTTTAGTTTTAAGATATTTTTAAGATTATTTTTAATCTGTGTATTCATTCCATCAAAACCACTGACCGTTTTAAAGATTAGATCACCCTTCCACTTCTTTTTGTAATTTTTTTTGTGTTGTGGGCGGAGGAGGGTCAGAAAGTAGGGGAGTGAGGGGGGATTTTAAATTGCCTCTCATTGACCTTTGTGTGGATTAGCTCTTTGTGGCGTCAACCCTGAACAGATTGGCTCGAAAGTTAATTTCAGACAGTGTGCATTCTATCGGACCCTGTAATCAGCAAAATCAGATCACCCCGGAATCCACACAGCCCAATGAGCACACACACCTGGCTTGTGCAACCTCACCCCTAGGATAGCAAAACTGTAACGGTTGTGAGTAATTGACGGTGAGAGCTGAAACATTGGTATCAATAAATAAAAGGGTTAAAGACCGGTTCTGTTGGTGCTGCAAATTCAACACAAGGAAGACAGAAGGAGCAGAGTGTTTTTGTTTACCTTTTTGTTTGAGATAGAAAAGAATAACAATGCTTAATACACAGGTGTGAATGTATACTTTTATTGTTGGCATCACACTGCTTGGTAAGTATATACATTCAATGCAGATAGACTGTATGTTCTATACATTCATGTATCACAATCAAATCCAAATGACACTGTCTCCTCAGTTTGACAGACTTGAGAGACTGTGTGTGTGAGACAGAGAATCTCTACGTCCAGGTCCTTCTCTGAAACTATCAGTATGGGGTTTGAATCAGGGAGGGAGGGAAACTGGATCCAGGACTACCCTTTTGGGGACAGGGAAATCAGGGAGATGAAGAAATAATAATGCTAGGGTGGGGAATAGAGGGGGAAAAACGGCAGGAAAGTGCCCGGAATCACATGCCAAAGAATAACCTTCCTTAACACAAAAACTTAGAAAGTTTAACCTGGGTTTGATTTGCGAAAACATGATTTGACAGGGGGTTTCACAGGTCGCTCTCCGCTTAAATTCATTGCAGGCACATGTTGTAAATATTGATATCGAAAAAGAACAGAATTGCATGCAAGTTTTTGATCATTTTAAAGTTAAGCCTTTACAGGAAAACAGAGATAACAAGGTGTAGAGCTGGATGAACACAGCAGGCCAAGCAGCATGAGAGAAGCAGGAAGGCTGACATTTTGGGCCTAGACCCTTCTTCAGAAGCCATTTTGTTTAAATACAGTTCTACTGGTTTAGAAATCCATCAATAATTAACAGTGCGAGAATGTTTTCCAGAAGAACAATTTACACGGTGCCTTCTGCGGTCTACGAGGGATGCCAGCGTTAACCGACCTCTCTTCAAGCAAACTCTCTTCCTCTCCTGGGCTCAAAGACGTGAAGTCATTTTCCAAGAGATTATCATCAGGATCCAACAGCCCAGACAGCAGTTTTAACATCAGATACTTCCTGCTTTTTGTAACTTCCTTGTGGACAAACCGAGAGAGAGAAAAAAACTTTTGTTTATCTTTATACAACACAAGCCATTTGTCCATTGATGCAAGCATCATTTGCTTACTCAAATTGTGCTCAGTTGTCCTGAATGCTTTTCATAGTTTATAGCAGCACCTTCCCCACCATCGACCTGCTTTATTGCAGTTTACTGCAGTTGCAGCAGTGTGTACTATCTACAAGATGCACTGCAGAAAATCAAAGATCCTCACGTAGCTCCTTCCAAACTCACAAACACTTCCACCTAGAAGGACAAGGGCAGCTGATACATGGGAACACCATCACCCACAAGTTCTCCTCCAAGCCATTAACTATCCTGACTTAGAAATAAATCACCGTTCTTTCACTGTTGCTGGGTCAAAATCCTGGAATTCCCTCCCTAACATAATTGTGCGTCAACCCACAGCAGGAGGACTGCAGCGGTTCAAAAAGGTAGCTCACCACCACCTTCTTAAGGGCAACTAGGGATGGGCAAGAAATGCTGGCCCAGGCAGTAATGCCTACATCCCACAAAATGAATAAATAAAACTCCTCACTGCTCTTTGCCAATGAACACTTCCTTAAACCCTGATCCTCCTGTCCTGCCGAAGTATTTGTGCAAAATCAAAAATCCCTCAGTTGTTAAGGTTTACTGGTCTTTTCAATAATGTTCCACTATCTAGTTAAGTATAATCAACAAGTCTTTCAAAAGCACAGCCGCACTGGATTTTCTAATCTTGAGTAGGTTTTCAATGTCAACAGATGCCTATATTTTTGTTCAGCTCCCCGTACATTTGAGTGATTTACTGGACCACTTCACAAGGCAGTTAATAGCCATCCAGATTGGCTCTGGAGCAGCTGTGGGCCATGTATCAGATCAACTTCTTTCCTTAAAGGAAATTTGTGAACCAGTTGGGGATTTATTACGGTCTGACAGCTTCACGCTTACTTTTGCTGGAACCAGCTTTGTGTTTCTGCATTTTGTTTTCAAACCAATTTCAAGTTCTCAAATAAGTGGTCTTTGAACTCAAATTCTCTGGTTTATTAACTCAGACCTATATAATACCAGTCCTGAGAGATAACTAATGTACTCAATATCTCTTGATGCCAATGTTGGCTTTCATAGAATCCTACAGAAAAGAACAACACCATTCATTCAATCATCCCTGTACTAGTCCTTGTGGAATAGCTGGCCAGTTAGTCCCATTTCCCTGTTTCTTCCCCACAGCCGTGCAATTTACCATCCTTTATATATCAAATTTCCTTCTAAAAGTTACTGCTGAATCTCATTCCCTCAACTTTTAGGCACCATATTCCAGATTATAACAATGCACTGTGCAAAAAAAAAATTCTCTCTCTAAACCAACTTAAAATTGTGACCTCTGGCTACCGGTCTGCTATCAGTGGAAACCACTTGCACTTATTCCCTCTTCAAGATTTTAACAGCTCTATTAAATTTTCCCTCCGCTTTCTCAGTGTTCTAGAGAACAATCCCACCTTCTGTCATTTCTCTCTACAATTTCCCCAAAACTATTACTTCAATTCTCTCCTTTCTGTTAAAAAAACAGAATACTGCAGGTGCTGGAAATCTGAACTAAAACGTGAAACATTTACTCTATTTTCCTCTCTCTCCACAGTGCCAAGTTTCTTCCCCAACAGTTTCTGTTTATATTTCAGATATCCAGCATCAGCAGTATTACTGTTTAATTCACTGCCAATTCTCTTCCGCAATACCTGCTTTAAATAAAAAAGTTCTGTTCTTCTCTCCAGTGGGATTTCCTTCTGTCTTTTTTTTCACTTCCATCACACTTCTGTTTTCTATTTTGCTTGTTACAATTATTGATTCTGCCTGGTCCCCTACCTGCCACATTTGCAAATTCCGTAATTACCTTTTACTCACCCTATTTACCTGGAGTTTCATTCGTTCCTCCAGTGGGTCTGCTGCCTCAACACTTAGAAGAAGCAGCAGGGACATCAGGCACACTGTCATTTGCCACTTCATACTGAAGCTCCAAGCTCTCCCGAATAAAATGCTCAATGTGTCGTGAACACCTCAATCCTTTTTTTACTGGATGCTTTTCCAGTTCTTTTATAGCACAGCAGAACCAACTCTCTGACGCACAAAATTAATGATACAATTAAAGCCTAATAGTCAAGTGCATCATTAACCCAATAAAGGCCTGGAATCTCGGTGTATATAAAGAGCGACGGGTTTGTGTTATCGTAAATGGAAAAATGCTAATTTACAAAGAACATAACTGACTAATAATATTGCCGCTATAAGTTTTGTAAATTTATTATGAAAGTGTCTGAAAGGTCTGTAATATGGATGGTTAAAATTGAAGTACAATTACTCATTAAGAAGTTTTATAGTTTCCAATCTAGAAACATTCTAACCATATCAGCAAAAATATATTCTTAGCTGTTTCAAAGTGGAGCTAGATGTTAGATAGACCATCTAATGCAGTACAAGCGTTATCAAAACCCATGGGCTGACTAGAATTAATCATAACAGCTGATCGTCAGCACCTTAGAGAGTTCTGAGGTAAGTTGTTTCCTGGAAATTTCTTCTTAAAACACTGGTCAAGGATTTGTCATTTTAATCTATATACTGTACTGAAAATCAATTCTTCTTCTCGTTTTTACTTCAGGTTTTCAAATTTATTGCAACAAGCTGATATAATGATATCTGCCCACCATTCACTGCACATTGCTTGGGCATCCATTTAACCGTATTCATGTGTGTTGATGAATTGCCAAATGGGGTGCATACTTTAGCCATTTTTTGGTAGGTTTTAATTGATTTAGTCTATAAACTTGTCTGGTTTCAGAACAGACATTAAACCAATGTGTTAAACCTGCCCTCAGAGGTGGAAATAACATTTAAGAGAAGAGCAGAGTTCTCCTCCCCTTTCTCCTGACCAATATTTATCCCTCAATAAACATCCCTGCTTGTTCAACACATTCCATAGTACAAATTGGCCGACCATGTTTCCTACACTATTGTAAAAACAAATTAAAATTAACTCAGTTGCTTTGGGGTGTATTGAGATCATGAAAGATGCTATTCAAATGCAGTCTTTTTTCCTTTCTGGTTCAATTGTTATGAATCAACATTACCATCACTGTGATCTATTTTGACTCCTCGTACTTTTGTTCCATTAGTCATTCAAGTAGCTTTCAAGATTCATGTTCAATGTTACTTTGTTTCGTGCAGTTCAACAACGCGCAATGACATTACACATTTTCTTTTAAGAAACCTCTCTTGCTTTCCATCTCAGCCAGTTTCTTGTGAGCAGGCACTGAACTGTAGCTAGGTAATTTCCAGAAAAGATACAAAGGAAATGCAGCCAATCTTTTCTCCTATGCCTTCTTCTGTCAACCCAAAAATAGAATTGGGAGATGTCTTGAACCAGTCCATCTACTCATCCTCTCAGAGCAGGAGATGTCCTGGACAGACAAGGAATGGGCTTAAAAAACCGCAAGGAGGAATTTAAAAGGTTGTAAACCCCAGACGTTTCTCCTAGCGTACAGTGGATAGCATCATTACTGTATGAATACACTGAGGAACAAATTCCAGATTAGGTTTCCAATGTCAGCGGTTTCTGAAGTCAGCTGGTGTGGTTGAAATTCTACATTGGTCTCACCACTGATGTAGTAAGGAGGGGAGAAAATCTCTTACAGTTTTCTTGTCCGGTGAAATGTTTTGAACTAAGTACAGAATCAGGTTTGAGTATGAAGCTCCCAGGGTTAAACAGCCTGACATTCAAAGCCTCATTCTCTTGTAGGAAAGTGGTCGTTTATGCAAACAGTAGGACAGAGCACTGCCTGCGGCATTAAAACATTCCAGATGCAGCTTCTAAGGAAATTTGCACGTGTGTTGGCATTAGAAGACTTTTTCTTGTAAGAATCTTTATTTTTCCATTTTTACTCCAAAATAACATTGTCCAACAGTTGCTGTAGAACCAAAGGAACAAAAGATCAGGAACAAGGCAGAGGGCCAGAAGACTGCATGTTTTTGTGATTACAACTATCTCTTGGCTCACTTACGTTGAAGAATATGGTCAGAATATAAAGTGTACTGTATACAACACAAGAAGAAATAAAGAGGCCACAAAATAGGGTTGCTCGCTCACGAGAGAAAGACAACTGGTGGCAGTTTAACCTGAAGGTCACCATCCCTCAGTAAGGGGAGAGGTTGAGGATACAAATCCTTCATGGCAACCTCAGCCAGTGTGGGAACTGAACCCACAATGTTGGCATTATTCTGCATCAGCAAATCAGCAAACTGAGCTAACTGATCACCAATACCCTGACATGATCAGAATATTGCTCTGAGTTTGGATGAGCAACAACAAAATATATATTGCCTCCTATTCCACTTTCAGTTTTTAATCTACAATTTCAGATTTGAATAGACAAGAAAATAACTTCTGCTGTTCATGAGAAGATTTAAGATGTGATGCAAACATCATTAGCAAGCTATGTTGCACAGAATAGAGAAAAGGCATTCTGTTCTCTACAACATAGTTAGTAACGAATGTAATGTTCCTCCTGGTTCTATTGCAGCAGCTGTGCTCAATGCTTAGCAATGAAGAAATCATTCCAGATTAGATTCAGTGGAGAGTAAACTAGTGGCCAATCTAATCCAGTCAGTTTCCTACTGTAGAGCCTGTTCTTTATGAAACAAATTAATTGTGTTACTGTACCAATATTGACTAGATTCTTTTAAATATTAAATTAACATATTGAATTCAAAATCCTTGTTGTATAGTGATTGTAACAAGGTCATCCAGGTGGACCCCATAGAACATGAGCTCCCCAATTGAGGCTATAAATCTGGTCTAATCAGGGAGCCCTGGCTGACAAATATAACAGGACTGTCAGAGGCTCTGTTCACTCTGAGAGCTGGCTCTGAGGGAGCTGGATCAGTATCGAGGACCCTCCATAAATAAAAGGGTGATTTGGTAACGGGATACCAGTCTCTGAGGAGTTATTCCAGTTTGTATTTACAAATCCACTTAAGGCATTGCCTCACGCAATAGCCTCATCCAACCAAGTGGGCCAGCATAACATTTTTGTCCAAACCCTAAATTTAATTGCTGTTTGAAAATGTATTATTGTCCATGTTCGATATTTTAGAAACATTATGGGACACAACTGATCAAAGACGTAGCAAGAAAAATGGAGTAAAGTAGGCCACTCAGCCCTTTAGGCCTGAATGCCTATAAGCTTTGGGGAATCTTTAAATGGTGAGTTAAGTAGCAAGGCAGAGTTTCAGATGCTGATGTAATGAGCAGGAATGCTGACTGACTGAAACAGAAAGTAGGCAGGAGGTGACTGAACGTAGTGTTTCCTTAGACCTTACATCAGGAAACAGAGTTCATATGGTGAAAGGGAAAAAAAAACACAGTTCCAAAGACATACAACACCGAGCTTTTATTTCACACAAATGATAACCAGATTCATGGAATCAAATCTGTATTTACATAAAAAGTAATTTTTTAAAAATATAATTTTAATGCATCATTTTCCATTCTTGGTGTCATTTGAAAAACAATCCATTCTCTTGTTTCAATTCATTACTCGATTGCATTTACTCATTTCAAAAGCTAAAGGTTCAGATTGTCAAATGGTGCAGTTGACCCACCCAGATCAGAAAGCCCCACATTTATTTTCTCGTCTATGCTGATTTCAACTAGACCTTGTGTTGTGGTATTTTAAATACCTTCACTATCCCGAGGGTAGTTTTAAAATAAAATCACTCCAATTCCAGGGACAAGTCATCAGCCAGGAAACTCAGGCAGAAAATGTTTACAATTTAATAACTTGCTAAAATTTGTTGTTCAGTCTTAGACACTGAGGATGATCACTGAGCAGCTCAAAACAGAAGCCTTCAACATGCTGCATATGAACATTTGCTACAGCAGAAACAAGCACTTTCAGGGAAATAGCTAAAAAGCAAAAATTCAAAAAGCTAGTTCATTCTAATAACTTCTGTCTTGGGCAACAGAGCACATGCCAGATTAATCATCAGTGAAGGCTCTTCTGAGATCCTGGCTGACAGTTGTTTATTTATTCCTCTTTGAATTTATTCAAGATCGTGCTAGATAGATTTTTGATGGACAAGGGGTTAAGGGTTATGGTAGGGGATGGGTAGTCTGGCAAGTGGAGTTGAGAGCACAGTCAGTTCAGCTATTGTCTTATTGAACAGAGGAGTAGGATCAAAAAGGTTCAATGTCCTACTTCAGTTCCTAAGTCTCATGGTCATCCAATATCACAAAAACAAATCTAGCTGTTCATTAGCTCTATTAAAGTTTGCAAGTACTTGCTGTTCATCAATTAGCTGCTTCATTTTCCTATGCATGACTTTGCTTCATAAAATAACTGTTTATGAAATACTTTGATACATCCTGAAGTTAGTAAATATACCATATTTGAAAAGCCTTTCCTTCTAGAAATTGTGTATTAAGATAACAACACATGGAATATTCTCTGTGGCTGTCAATAAATTGGTGGCAAAAGTACAACTACAGATCTGTGAAACTCTGTGGTGTATTTTATGTGCTAGGGGTGTACCTAATTCTGCACAGTAGATGTACAATTATCTGACCATACAGAAACAAACAAGGAAATATCACACAAATCATTAAAAATCTGGTAGCATAATGGTTATATTGCTGGACAACAATCCTGAATCTACACTAATGATCTGAGAAAATTAGCTCATAGGTCACAGCATCTGTGAAATTTAAATGCAGTTTATTAAATAAACCGAGTATCAGTCATTGGAATCATGAATCTACTGGTTGATCTCTGCCTCAACTTTTTGTGATATTCCACATGTTCATCACTCTCTGGGTGAAGAACTTACTCTTCATCTCAATCTTGAAATGTTTACCCACCTAGCCAGCATATCCCTGGACACTATGTCAAACTCACTGATCTATAATTCTGTGTGTTGTCTCTACGTCCATTTTTAAATAGTGAGGTTACATTATCTACCCTCCAAAACGTAGAAACTGTTCCCCAGTCTACAGAAGTTCAGAAGACGACCACCAATGCATCCGCTATTTCTAGGGCTACTACTTTAAGTATTCTGGTCTCCCTGCTAATATGAAGGACATTGTGAAACTTGAAAGGGTTCAGAAAAGATTTTCAAGGATGTTGTCATATTTGGAGGGTTTGAACTATAGGGAGAGGGTGAATAGGCTGGGGCTATCTTCCCTTGAGCATCAGAGGCTGAGGGGTGACCTT